GGGGCCAGCAGCGCCACAGGGCACCTACGTGTAAATGGTGCCATAGCTGTGCAGCTTGGGGTCTTCTGCCTCGACCGAGAACCGAAGCCACTGCTCCTGAGGCCCCTGCCGCTTCGCTGCCTTCTCCAGGTCCCAGGACAGTTCAATGCTGTGATGAGTCACTTTGCCCACGACAGGTGGATGAGGCTTGGAACAGGGCGTGATTTCTAAGAAAAGAACCATAGAGGGTTTCAGGTCCTGTTTCCGTGAGGAAGAGACCACTTGCTCAGAAATCATACTGTCGGTCCTTAAGGCACACGCACGTGACACCTGCCCATTGCTTGTAGAAACCTACCTAGAAAGCTGAAACCTGCAAGATCCAGCCCAGGGAGTGATCCCCACAATCCCCAAGCAGCCTGGGCCATTCGTGTCGACGTCATCCTAGCCTAAGTCCTCTTCCCAAAGCCTAACTAAATCTCATGGCGCATCAAAACGCTGAGTCAAGAAGCCACGGAAAGAGACAAAGAAGGGCATTATGTCTTGATAATAGGTTAGAATCAGTAACCAGGTATAACAATCACAAACCCAGCTAGTTAGACGCAGCAGATATTATTAGACCTAAGGGCAGAGATGGCCACCAATCACAGCGGGTCACTACGATGGCCCACGCTCAGTGGATAGATCATCCAGAGAGAAAGATCAATAGACACATGAAAGGAGCCAGCAGGCCTGCATATTCACAGGTCACTCGCACGGCGTCATCAGCACCGAGCTGCAGACCAGCCTCAGTACATTTTAAAGATTTGTTTCTATTGGAAAGGCAGATATACAGAGGCAGGTGTTGAGTCCAACGTTGTCACATTGGAGTGACTTGCTTGATCCCTAGCCCCTGATTCTGGCTTCCTTCAATTTGTTTTAACTAGCCGCCCTTTTTCTCTTAAGATTATTTATTTTTATTGGAAAGTCAGATTTACAGAGAGACGGATAGGAATATCTTCCACCTGCTGGTTCACTCCCCAAGTGGCCACAATGGCCAGAGTTGAGCTGATCTGAAACCAGGAGCCAGCAGCTTCTTATGGGTCTTCCACGTGGGTGCAGGGTCCCAAGGCTTGGGGCCGTCCTCCACTGCTTTCCCAGGCCACAAGCAGAGAGCTGGACGGGAAGTAGAGCCTCCAGGATTAGAATCAGTGCCCATATGGGATCCCGGCGTGTGCAAGGTGAGGACTTTAGCCTCTAGACTACCGCACCAGGCCCTCTTCCTTCTAATGTGGATCCTGGGATGCAGCTGTGACGGCTCAAGTTTCCGACTCCTGGCTTCGGCCTGACCAGAGCATGCCTCCTGTGTGGGGCACAGGGGGAGGGAGCCACTGGATGGGGGAGCTCACTTACCTGCTCTCACCCCTCTCCAATTTAAAAATGCAAAATACATGTGCCTATCCCATGAGACAAAAGACAAAATTGTAAAACAAAAAAACAGACTGAGCAGCTGGTCACATTTCAGAGGCGGCAAAGGAGCTAGAGATTAGGGTGCATGGTGAAGTCAGCGATGACAGTATGCAGACAGCAGGCAACAGAGCCGGTGTAAACACACTCGGCGTGTAGATGCAGAGCCCCGAGGAACAGAACCTCCTTCCCCTGTCCTTGCAGAGGACACCTAACAATTCACTGATACTGTCTAGTTTCACTGACCAGGCGTAGCTGCAGTCTGGCCTCTCGTGCCAGATGGCCTACAGTGAAGGTGACAGTACGCCCACGGCAGTGCTGCATGAACACAGCGGTGGCTGTCACCTTGGAGCAGTGTCACAACTTGACACACATGCACGCAGGCGCCATAAATTAAACTCAGACTCTAAATCCACATGGAGACCATAGCATCAAAAGGTACCTACCAGGAACACGTAAGAAAATTTTAAATCAAATATCAAAACGGCTAGACTGAACACTTCATTTACTTAAAGCTTTAATTCCAAAAAGAGCTTGAGGTTCAAGCCGTTGCACTGCTTTCATCCAGTGGAATCCTAGGATGCCGTGACAGGTAAAAGGTCCACACAAACGAATTAGTATGCTTTCCAACGATAACCAAACACAATCAACAAAACAAGTTCCTCACAACCAACAAGAGCAGGAGTAGCAGCAGGTGCACCCTGCTCGAGGTCCTTCACCACAGCTCCGCGGCCATGGGCAACAGTGACCTCCAGGCATCACCCTCCTGGAAATGCATCCAAAGAAGCCAACGCAGAAACAAAATGAAAGTAAGATTAACGTGTGTTTGAGCTGTGTGTGCACTTGGCGTTTACGATCGCAACATCTCAGGGCCCGAGCCATCCAAGGCCTGGCCGCCCCACTTCCCACGCAGCCCCTGCTAATGCACCCAGGAAAGCAATGCCACATGGCCCAAGTGCTTCAGCCCCTGCCACATACAAGGGAGGCCCAGGTGGAGTTCCAGGCTCCTGGCTTTGGCCTGACCCAGCCCCAGCAGCTGCAACCATTTGGGGAATGAACCAACAGATGAAACATTTTCCCTGGCTCTCCTACTCTGTAACTCTGCCTTTTAAATAAAGCTTTTTTTAAAAAGAGCATTTCAAGCACACATTTTAAAAACAGGAAAGTGTGTGTCTTCCACCAGCCACAAACCGCATCGGCCATTCACGTGCCATCCACCTCCACAGCCCTCCTCCAAACCAGGATTATTTAATAGCTAATGCCAATGAGAGTGCACTTTGTATCAAAGTCTAAGCTCTTTTATATGCGATTTAATCTTCACACAAACCTTGAGAAGAGCAAAGATTCCTGTCCAGCTTATAACATGACATAATAGATACAGAGATCTCAAACCTGTCAGTAAGCACAGACAGTGGGCGGCAAGCGCAGGAGTTTAACACAGGAAACGCCGCTGGAGAAGCACATCCTTACACCTTCTTGGTGGCACGTGCTAATTCCCCAGGATTAAGTGAGCATACTCTTGCACACACAAACATAAATAACATAAAAACCAAAAAAAAAAAATCGCTTCAGTGCTGGTGCCATAGAGAGCAACAATTCCTGCAAGCTATCTAAATGTCCAAGAATATGGAATTTGACATATGTGCTCTGGCATGTCCTGTAAATGCAAGAGTTTTGTCACTAAAAGCTGGGAGGTCCGTACTATTATGTGCTATGAAGGGAAGGACATGAAATTCCATGCACACAGAACTGTAGCAATATAAAATATACCAATGCATTGAAACAGAAGAGGAACTTAGAAAAACTGGAAAGTAGTGGAATTATAATTGGTTTTTGGGAAATCTTTTCCGAGTTTTTTTATATATTTTAAAGAGAGACAAAGAGACAGTGACTTGTACTCATGGATGTCCCTCGCTGGACCCGCCCCAGGCTCAAGTCAGCAGCCGGAGCTCCACGTGGACCTCCACGCGAGCGTCCAGGGCTCGCGTAACTGAGCCATTGTCCTCTGCTTCCCCAGGTGCCCTGGCTGGATCAGACGCAACATAACGGTGACTCAAACTGGCACCCGACACTCAACATGAGCATCACAAGGGGCGGCTTACCTCACCACGAGACCGGGCCTCCTTTTGGCAAATTTTAATGCTGTTACAGTAAGGTGTAAGAAAAAAGAAAAAAGTAACGAGACATTCTTGTTGTCAAAAAAAAAACTTGCTACGACGAACGTAGATTCCTCCTCACCGAGTTTACACACATACACGACAGCAGTAAGTCTGACAAAAATAAACCAAGGAGGAGGCAGTGAGGGCGCCTTATGGCGGAACACATCCCAGTTACATCATGGATAGATTCACTGACATTTTGGGGTCAAGCAGATACACTGCATCACATTTATTTCCAAGAAATAGCTTGCCTTACACCCAACTGTTCAGCTCATTTGTGAAATGCTTCTGCTGTGAACTGAGAGCACAGGTGCAACCAAGGTGGCTCAGAGAGGGCGCTAAGACAGACAGGGAACTCCAACGCCAGACCAGAGACACACAGCCAGGACAGGGGGAGGCAGCACAGAGGGGACTCTGTCGAGGTAGCACCCTCACACGAGGCTGAAGGGTGGACAAAAGTCTAGCTGAGCTGGCAGGTGGACGACAGCATCTGTCTGCAGAAAGTGTATGTACTCAAATGCCTAATTTTATCCCCGAGAATCCTTGGCCTATAAAGAAAATCAGATAAAATACAAATTGGTCAGAAGCTGCCTTCCTCCACTTTACTAGTAAGTTCTTTAAGAATAAAAACCAGGTCAGACATCAAAATCCAAGCAGCAGCAAAATAAAAGGACAGATGCCAAACCACTCCCACCTCCAGACATCAGGAAACACTGCCTTCTCTCCTCACCAGGAAGACGGCGGCCAGTGAGCATGCCTGCCCGTCTGCCTGCCCGTCTGCCTGCCCGCCCGCCTGGCACATCTACTACAGTAGTGACATGATGGACCTTGAGATATGCAAGGACAAGCAAGCAGTGGGGACACTTCTGGGAAACATGACCATGTTTGGCCACGGCGCACTTGCTCTACAGGATCCCAGCTGGCAATTCTACATGGGCAGCATTCTTAGGGCAGCATTCGTGTCCCCAAACCATTTCTCTCACTTGGTGTTGACTTCCATTTACTGCATCCTTGTTCTAAGTCCAGGACACCTTATAGCAGCACTGTGTAACCTCACAACACATGCTCTCAACTTACCACTGAGGACAAGAGGAAGACCAAGGCTCCCAACAGGCAGGCAGCTTGTTCAAGGGCACCGAGGTGCCAACAGGGACCCGGGGCCTTAACCCAGGGCTGCAGCATCTTCCCCAGGCTGTGCCCGACTCAGAGCTTTGAGACGTTTCTGACAATGAACAATAGCTCCACGAAATGATGAAGTCTTTTTTAAATAATTTTTTTCTATTTTATTTTTAATTTTATGGTACAATCCCATTGCCTCTGGGATTTCCCTTACCCCCTCCCCAAACACTCCCCCTAACTGATTTTCCCCGTGTTATTACAATAGTATAGTCCTTCATGAGCAGTCATAAGTCCATCATTAAAAATACAGAACGTTTCACGTATCTGCATGTCATCCTTGCGCAGGGGCCATGCTAATCTTGTCCGTATTGTTCCAGTTTTTGTCATTTTTGTGCTTGCTTCAGCAGCACAAATACTAAGTCTCTCACAGCCAGACAGGAGAGGTCAAGCCTCCCTAACGCACTTCTGACACAAAGCACAAGGCGACAAGGCTGCTGCACCTTAACAGCGGTGGGAGGGAGACATCCAGGATGTGCTTACTGACACACTGAGGACGCACGAACTGCTGAAGGACAAGGACAGGCAAGTGGGCAGAAGACAGATGCCAACACTGTGCCTCACAACCAGAGCAAACGACAAAGACGACATTTTCAGTCATCAAATCTGTTAGAACTGCAATGCACCAGTGGCAGTGAAAACAATGCCACCTGGGAGCTCACTGCGGAGAACAGGCAAGGCCAGGTGGCATTCAGGACGTGGCGCTGCAACCAGCCAGCACCACCTCACCCAGCCAGGAACATCCACGGCCACTCGGCCAGTGTGCAAACTCCCCAACAGCCACATGAGAAGACAGTGCTAAGGATGGAGGGTGCTGCTAGAATGCTACATGGCAGTTAAGGCTGAGGTTAAAACTAACTGGGTATGGAAAACATCCAAGAGTAAATCCGCGTTTGCAGAATGAATTACAAAAGCAAATTACAGAATGATACGTGGAGAATTATAAAATCTACACAGCCTCGTTTTAAAACATGTAGAAGAGAACGGAAAGAAATGGCAGGAATCCAAGTCAGCATTATTGTCAGGGTTTTATTTCCCAAGGTGGGTGATAGCACATACTTTATGTCTGAATTATTTAATAAAAGAATAAGGTAGTGCACGCACAGGGGTTTTCCCATCCCCTGGGTCACTGCGCAGACTGGCAAGCTGTATCTCAGAAAGACCTGAGACTGTTCTCAGATTGGCATTCAGTGTCCAGGCGGGAGACATCTCAGATTCTCCTCTGGCGGGGGGGGGGGGAACCTCTGTACCACCCCACCCTGCCAGAGACCACAGTCCTGAAGACACGAGCCCACGTTCACACACGATCACTCCACCGCTAGAAAGCCACAGGCACTGTCCTCACTCCACTCACCTGCCTGTGCCATTCTGTTGGACAAGTTCCTAACGCATGTTGTAATTAGGAATGACAGACACACAAGTGTTTTAACACAAAATACCAATAGCATATTGTAGGAAATTACCCTATGGTGTATGCTCATTAGAAACTTAGCTAAGCCCTGGTGTAACCATGATGCTAGGTCTCAGTAGCATTTAGGAGAGTGGGTAGGTCAGCTGTTGAACTTGTTTCACAAAGCATGTACTTGCTATATCTGTAACCTTTAGTGGTTCTGCAGCCTGTAGCCACCAGATGCCTGGGAGCCTTGCTGTCATTGTGAGCCCCCGCCACCCCATCTGCCCAATACCCATCCCCTTTTCCTCAGCCTTTAGGTGCCATGTTGAGTTCATATTCTACCTCCCAAGTTGCTCAACCACTAAGGAACTGGGGGAAGGGACCCTGACTTGCTAGGGATAAACAAAGCTGAATTTCTGAGGAAGGTGCCTGCTTTCACCTGCTGGTCACTGCTGAACAGACCTTGAAGCCCTATAACACACACACCTCACTCTCTAGTTCCTTCCGGTTTCTGAATCCAGGTGAGCATGTAGTCTCAGGTGAGCTTATTTCCCCACACATATCAGTCTGAAACTGTAACTGTCAGTAGTTACCACCATTTAACTGTGTGCATATTATCAGCCAGTGTGAGAAAAGACAGCAACTAATGCCCAGCCAGCACACACAAGTGTCTGACACTTCCGTTGCGTGATTCGGACATCAGCCCATATTCCGGTGCACATGCACCACCCAGAATGTGACACCGTCCCCACTCAGAAGAGCCCCAGCTGCCTTCCACAGGGCCCTGTGAAAACACTCATGTAGAACCAGCGCAATGGCTGGTCAAAAAATAGTTAATGAGTTAACATTAGTGGTGTATAGACTAGGAATACAGATTTAACCCAACTCTCCTATTCGAAGTGGGTGTGTGACAGAGGCTTTGATGGGATGGAATCGCAGGGGGGCAGCTCCAGGACTGGATCCGGGTGACCTCCCAGGCATGGAGGGATGTATGCTCCCTGCCTCATCATGGACTCCTTACACATGTGCTTTGTCACCCACTGCCTTCTGCCCCTCAGCAGATAGCTGACCAGGAAGGCTGCCTGTGTGGTTGGACCAAACTTCTGAAACAAAACCAAAATAAACCTCCTTCCTTTGTAAGCTGTTCCTCTCAGGTATGTCAATTATAGCAATGGAAAGTTGCCTAGTATGTAGAGTCAACAGCCTTTCTTACGTAAGATGAAATGTGTTCTAAAACAAAAATCTGTGCAATCCTACGGGTTTTCAGTAAATAATCAGTTACTGAGCAGTGATTCCGATTACATCATGATCAATTTCCCTCAAATGCCATTTCCTTTCTCTGTTCCTTATCTTGTCAAACCCACCCTCCCATCACCAACACCATTCTCTTAAAATATGTATTTTTTTTTTTGTTGGACAGTCAGATTTACAGAAAGGAGAGACAGAAAGATCTTCTGTCCACTGGTTCACTCCTCAAGCGGCCACAAGGGCCAGAGTTGCGCCCATCCAAAGCCAGGAGCTTCTTCCAGGTCTCCCATGCGAGTGCAGGGTCCCAAAGCTTTGGGCCGTCCTCCACTGCTTTCCCAGACACAACCAAGGAGCTGGATGGGTAGTGAGGCAGCCAGGACATGAACCGGCAGCCATTTGGGATCATGGGCCTGCAAGTTGAGGATTTCACCACTAGACTATCATGCCAGACCCTGTTCTTTTGTTTTCAACGTCTTTCTCAATGATATTATACTATGTGAGAAGGCCTGTGCTAAGTGTTGGGACTAGGGAAGGCACAAGGGGTCATTCTGGCCCTGAGTCTACAGTCCTGCAGAAGGCTCAGACATTAAACAAAGGAATCCTCCTTCCTCCAACCCAAGAAAAAGTTAGTGCAACCATAGCTATTCCTTACGAAACAATGAGCTGCAGAGCACACCTGAGCTCACACAGTGAGCTGCGGAGCACACCTGAGCTCACACAGTGAGCTGCGGAGCACACCTGAGCTCACACAGTGAGCTGCGGAGCACACCTGAGCTCACACAGTGAGCTGCGGAGCACACCACGGAGCACACCTGAGCTCACACAATGAGCTGCGGAGCACACCTGAGCTCACACAGTGAGCTGCGGGGCACACCTGAGCTCACACAGTGAGCTGCGGGGCACACCTGAGCTCACACAGTGAGCTGCGGGGCACACCTGAGCTCACACAGTGAGCTGCGGGGCACACCTGAGCTCACACAGTGAGCTGCAGAGCACAGCCGAGCTCACACAATGAGCTGCGGAGCACACCACGGAGCACACCTGAGCTCACACAATGAGCTGCGGAGCACACCACGGAGCACACCTGAGCTCACACAGTGAGCTGCGGGGCACACCTGAGCTCACACAGTGAGCTGCGGGGCACACCTGAGCTCACACAGTGAGCTGCGGAGCACACCTGAGCTCACACAATGAGCTGCGGAGCACACCACGGAGCACACCTGAGCTCACACAGTGAGCTGCGGAGCACACCACGGAGCACACCTGAGCTCACACAGTGAGCTGCGGGGCACACCTGAGCTCACACAATGAGCTGCGGAGCACACCCGAGCTCACACAATGAGCTGCGGAGCACACCCGAGCTCACACAGTGAGCTGCGGGGCACACCCGAGCTCACACAGTGAGCTGCGGGGCACACCACGGAGCACACCTGAGCTCACACAATGAGCTGCGGAGCACAGCCGAGCTCACATTTCAACCATAGCCCAGAGCGGCAACGGGGAACATCATGGTGAAAAAGATCTTGGCTTTCCCCTGGGTTGATGGCAATGTGCTTGGCAAACCCCAAAATGAACCCCACTGTTCTAACAGCAGTAGAGTGGGCCTACTGGTAATACATCCTCTAGAGAAAATTCCAGCCCTTCTCACTTTCATAGCTAACCGTTGTAACTTACTAATGAAAACATGACTGATTCTGTTCGGATCTGTTGATTCTTGAACACCCCTCGCCACACACATAGTGGCCTTTTACAAGTGGGGCTCATTTATAATGTACAACCCACATTTCTGCTTCTCTAACAGCTTTTTACAATGGTTTACAATAAAAAGAATAAATAGAAAGGTTGGATGAACTTATTATACAAAGACAAACCTTATGCCATAAATCTCCTCAAATGCTTTATTCTGAATAAATTGCCTGGGTATATACAGAAAAAAATAAATGGTATTTTCACAGCCAGAATAGAAAGAACCAGGATCATAAATTGTGTATTAATTATAAATAATGGCCACTGTTCTTTGCATTTATCAGAATAACATCCAGTGTAAGAAATCCCCTGCTTCTTGTATGAGCTGCTCGCACATTCATCTTTCCCTAGCTCTGAGCAACACCTCTTAGCACCAAGATTCATGGATGCCCCTTCATGGCCAACAGTAACTAAACCCATTGTAAAAACTAAACCCAACGGCGGCTACTGCATCACAGCTGTCTTTGCAAAAAGTCTCCACCTATGGATTAAAAAACTGTGTGAAAATAGATCTCCGCCCCTCCCTGCACTGGGTACAAACGCACAGCTCTGATGTCCAATCAGCCGTCCTCATCTTTCCCTAGGCTCCTCCCCCTCCACCTCTCCGGCTGCCTCCCGCCCCTTCTCCCATCCAGCATCCCCTGCAGCTCTGTCCACTTCCTAAACCTGTTAGGGGACTTCTCCTTGAAGTGACTGACCTTCCAGCCAAGTGTTGTCTCACTTGCCTTATGATATAAACGTGTATCCCTTTCAGAACTCAGGTCACAGAGCGGCCCTCCCGATACCCTCTGGCATGTGGAAGGCAGTCAGGTACAACACAATTAACCAGACGCAGAATCCATACCACATAGTCAGGTGAAAGAAACAAGCAAACAAAAATAGATATTCAGATACTGGAAACTGTACAAATACTTTTTTCTTGATCAAGCACAGGTTGTTTGTGTTGTTGTTCTTGTTTTCATAAAATA